GGATCATAAACATAGACATGGTAAACAGGATAAGCATATAATGGATAGTAAACATAGTAAACAGATCAGTACACAAAGGATAGTAAACACAGACATAGTAAACAGGATAAGCATATAATGGATAGTAAACATAGTAAACAGATCAGTACACAAAGGATAGTAAACACAGACATAGTAAACAGGATAAGCACTTGATGGAAAGTAGACATGGACAGAATAAACAAAATATTACAATAAACAAGTAAAGTGAATGACATCGCAGACAACCCAGTATGTTATGTCTCTGGTCTAATACTGTAAATACTTTGGGCTCATTCACTGCAATAGTCTTCCAATCAGTGAAGCTTAGTTTTACGCCGCTTTCAGCAATATTTCAGCAATATCACAGCAGGAAACACCAGAAATGGGCTTCACGCATTGCACCCATGTCAGGAATCAAATTGGGATCTTCAGCATGACAAGCGAACGCTTTAACTTCTAGGCTACCCCACCGCCTCATCTTCCAATCAAGTTACTCTCAAGAGATCTGTGAAGATCCGGGTTAGAATTGGTCTTCAGGAAACCATGCTTGTCACAATAGGCCACTAGTAACATTGGGTGGTCCGTCTTGCTCACTTGGTCAATGTATGTCATTGCATCCAGATTGTGCAGACCCATGCTCATGGTGTCAATCACTGGATTGTTTGGCAGATTATTTACAGACTGAAGTCATGTGACTGGAATATTGATGAGAGGGGTCCTTACACAACAAACAAGCCATCAAGACTGGACTTGATGCAAGGAGAAATGTCCTGTTGTCACTTCCAAAAGGAATTAATGGTGAATGGGTCGAGTGAGTGAGTTCAGTTTTATGCCGCACTCAGCAATATTCCAGCTACATGGCGGAGGTCTGTAAATAATCGAGTCTGGACCAGGCAATCCAGTGATCAACATCTTGAGCATCGATCTACGCAACTGGGATACGATGACGTGTCAACCAAGTCAATGAACCTGACCACTCGATCCCGTTAGTCACCTCTTACGACAAGCGTGGGTTACTGAAGGCCAATTCTAATCAGGATCTTTACGGGAGAATGGGTCCAAAAACTGTATTACAGTAGACACAGCAGAGACATCAACACTGAATAACCCAAGCTGACTAAAATATACATGCTAGAACATAGACACACCCAAAGCAATCCAGCTAAAATGGACAAAAGTCATGGATAAGCAATCAAGGATTTCACAAATGCAGTCAAACAGTCACACATATACATAAATGTACTGCATAGCATGAACAAAAATTTTCATCACCATGCTAAATGCCAGCATGGAGTTAAGACTTAATCATGAAGGGCGAGCTTGATTTGAGAGAAAGCCTGAACTTATGCAGGTCACAGACTTAAATCGCCAAAACCAGCTGTTTGTAAACCTAGACACATCATCACGACCATGTTTGATTTGAACTCACGATCGTGGAATCTTAATGAATGCAACTGTGGCATTTTAAGAACACATGGCTCTATGGGTATCTCACCCCCACAACCCTCCTATCTCTCTGCAACAGAGGACATTTGACCATTTGTCAACAAACTGTATCCTTCTCATCCCTTGCCAATGCAGGCCTACAGAAGTCTAAACTGCACTTTGCTACAAGTGTTGTGTGCGTTTCATGATATTTTTCTATGGGTCTGCACATTAATAAGTATGTCTGATACTACCTAAACACAAGAATGTTTACTATTTAAGAGACATGATGTGCCTGCCCAATGAAGGAGGCTGAAATGATTAAGCAATGGATTGGAGTACTGAGATATTGATTTCAATATGATACACGACAAGCTACATTCTCCATCATTCTGCACTATCTCACACATTATGTCTATTTTCACATATTTCATCACGGACACTGGTTTTGGTTGACTATTCTGTAACACAGCTGGTGATCTAGTGAACACAACATTTAGCAATTCTGCAAAATAAATCACCTCCTTTCCTCTTGCACTGTACATCAACATTAGACCAGTAAATATTGGTTACAACCAACTCAAAGGGACAGCTAGTTGGTCATAACGGGAGTTTGGTGTATGCAACTACAATATACAGTAAGCGGACAGTAACAAAACTACACTTCTCTATATGTTAGTTCACAATAAAGAATGTTCATCATAAGACCAGACCAATTTTATTTCTTGTTTTATGGATCCGCCGGTCATATTTTGTCAAGAATAAGGAGTGAGTATAGTTTTACGCCCTTTTTAAGCAATATTCCAGCAATATCACGGCGAGGGACACCAGAAATGGGCTTCACACATTGTACCCGTGTGGGCAATCAAACCCGGGTCTCCAGCATGACGAGCAAACGCTTTAACCACTAGGCTACCCAACCGCCCCTTTACAGACAAGAAACAAATATGAAAACCAAGAAACAGAAATCAGTGTTCTGTAGGTCATGTGTATATGTAATAGTTTGATTTTGAAGAGGAAAGTGACTTTCGTAAGTGTGTCAGATGTTTTGCTGTTATTAATGTGGTTGGCAAGAAAATGTCCAAAAACTCATAATATATCTATAAATATTTAAATGAATTTGTAAAATATTTATGACATTTGTGGTAGATTTGGGAAGAATTCTGGCCCCAGATAGATCCCTGTTTGTATCCAGTTTTGATTGCATGTGTACAATGTAACATCTACACGATCCATGATTACAAATAACAACAATACAAAATTGTTACCATAGAGATTAAACAAACAAAACATTGCCAAGGTAGTAAATTAAATTCAACCATATTTCATTACTGGCCTGACAGTTTTCAACTTTGGAGCCATATTCATAGATTTTCCTGTAAAAGAATATGACTGTGTCCATGTACACTTCATCTCATAATTTACAGCCACATCAACATTCTGACTATGATTGTTCTCTGGGAAAGAATTATCCTCAAGTAATATAGGAGAAAAGAATTCAGTCATGCAGTAAACTGTTGAAAACTTTGTTTTCATTTTGTTTCCTATCACTTTTGCCTAATTATGTATTTAAGGAAATTGATAATATTTCAGTCTGCCTTAGGAACAAATAATGTGTGTAAAAGTCTCCAAATATTTTACATCAAAGAGATAAAAAGTCATAAAAGTAAATAGACTGAGCTAGGGCTTATTCTATCTTTAATGAATTAACAAGTAGCTAACATTTATCTAACTTGCCCTGATTGTTTATAGATGTCAGAACGAATCAGTTTAGTGTGTTCCTACACCTAGCCTTACTATCCTTTAAGCAAAACTGTCAGCTGAGATCCCGATAAACAGAATTAACAAACTGAAGTAACCATGGTAACTAAAACCTTTATATTCCTATTGAATTACATACTAGAAAGAAGTGGTAAAGTTTATCAGTCTCTGTGAATCAGAATAAATAATTTTCTTCTCTCAGGTGATGTGAATACTGCATAAACTATACACTATAGACTTTTACCTTAAAAATGGTCAAGTACTGTGAAGAATTAACACGTTGAAGTAGTGTACTTACTGAAGTAGTGAATGAGTGTGTGAGTGAGTGAGTTGTGTTAAACGCCACTTTAGACCGAATATATCAGTTACAACATGTCACTTTGATGGTGGAGAAAAGTCAGGTTATCATGTATGATTAATTAACCCATGAACAAACCAATGATAATAATCAGAGTGAAGTTAGGATTTAATTCACTTATTGAAGAAGTAACATTTTCCACTTGATGTCAAAATGTCACTTACATGTAAAGTATAAGAAAACAATGAATAGCTCAGATTATTGAACACACTTGTAGTGTCATGATATATGATCTTTCCTTCTCCAGCAGTCTCAGATCTAATGGTTTTAGACAGTTATTTCAGACTTAAATAAAATACCTAAAATGTCCTAATCTAGACATGTCCAGTGTATCAAGTATCAAAATACCATGCTTCTCGACATGAACACTCCCAAGCCTAGAAAAGGAACTTGTGACCAGAAATTATTCAGGACATATAAAATAGTAATGGCCTTTACATTCTTTATTCTTATCATATTTACTGTCATGATATCTAACTACAGTACAGGGAAAGGAACCCTTCAAAATTTCCCTCTAGACCACAGGACCACTGAGTGGACAATAATTAGTGGTCCTGTCTGCACTTCACTGATCCAAAATAACATTCAAAGATTTACTTAACTATCAATACAAAATTCACTGGCCACCAGCACCACTGCAAACTTTAGTGGTCCTGATGAATTTTTACTAGCCAGGGACCACAGGACCACTGAAGTAATAGGAAAGAACTTGTTGGTCCTTAATGTTATAGTAGCATGTATGTGACAAGAAATCTCTGAAAAAATGATGAAGACCTGCCTTCATCTCTTGTCAGTACATGACTCATTATACAAATATCACGATGCAATATAATAATTAGAAAGGAAGACATAAAATACGGAACACAAATATGATATGAAGTAAAGCTATGAGATACTAGATACAGCCAACACACTGTTCAGCTGATTATGCAAGTAATGTCAAGCAAGTGCTTGCCTCAGCATGGCCCAACCCCTGGCGAATATTTATATTGTCAGAGTCTGGACATTTAAACCAAGCACCCTTACGTTCCTAAAAACTGGTACAGAAGCTAGCATCTCTTTTATGTAAAGTGGGAGACACCAGAAATGGGCTTTACACATTATACCCATGTGGGGAATCGAACCTGGGTCTTCAGCATGACAAGCGAACACATTAACCACTAGGCTACCCTACTGCCCCTTTAATGCTAGAGACCCAGCACCACTTTAAACTGACAGTCTAATACGTCTATAATTCTAGAATAGAGAATCTCGTAACACTAGAGCTGTGTACTTCTTTAACACTACAGTTGTAAACCTGTGAAGATCCTGGTTAGAATTGATCTTCAGTAACCCATGCTTGTCTTAAGAGGCGGCTAACGGGATCGGGTGGTCACGCTCGCCGACTTAGTTGACATCGTATCCCAATAGATCGATGCTGATGATATTGATCATAGGATTGTCTGGTCGAGACTCGATTGTTTACAGACTGACTACATATAGCTGGAATATTGCTGAGTGCGATGTTAAATACCAATCTACCATCTACAGTTGTGAACTCCTTCGACACTAGAGTTATGAACCTCTATAAAACTAGATCTGTGTACTTCCTTTAACACAAAATGGAATAAGTTTCTACATGAGTTACCATGGTCACATTAAAACAGGAATGTCTCAGCTGTGATGAACAAACCACATGTCAACTAAAAATGCAATTAATGACTACAACTTATTAAATGTCTACATAAAAATCAAAGTCTACATAAAAAGCACTAAACATGTCATGAAAATATCTGGTAAGGTCTCTCCCTCATGGGTCGGAAACATAACAAAATATACTGGTAGATATATCATCTAAAAAACACATATTTCTAACCTAGCAAACTTAAAATCTCTCATAACAAACACATAAATGATCCCAAGCTAACATTTCCAGAAAAAAAAACACAACATGAACAAGACATAAATTTGCAATCAGATTTTGTTCTTTTTCAGGGCAATATATTACTTCAACATTTCCAATAAAATATAAAATATCCAAACACATTTAATGAATGAGAGATATCCAATCTTATGCGGTTTATATGCTAACACAAATTGATAGTTTTGTATCTATATATCTTCACGTAGCTGAGAATAGCTGGACACACTCTTCCCGCTGGATTTTCCACGATGTTTTTCATAAAATTCTAAATCTTGGACATCAGCCGGGTTGTGCTGTTGGTATTCATGTCCGGGGACGGCACTGAAGTTGACGCCATCATGATCTTCCTTCAGCTCCACTGTCCAGAATGGTTTCCTTGGCGGGAAGATCTTCCAGCGCCGGTACACTGCAAACCCTACCACTGCACAAAGGGCCAGGATGACAGCAATGCAGATGGCGGCAATCAGACCTTTAGAAGGACCTGCATCCTGGGCTCCTGCTGATTCATCTAAAATATTCAAAATATAATTATCAAAAAAAACACCCTTACAGTTCATTTTCACGTTCACTTATTATAAATGCATCTTCCTAAATTTTGTCCAAAATTTACTTTAAGTATTATCTAAAAAGCTACTTTGCAAACTTTGATACAAGACAATTTTTTTAGCTTCAGTCAGCCCATAGTTTGGGGTTAGGTTTTATATCAACCCAGGGTATAAATTCAGGTTTGTAGCTCAACACTATAACAAGAGTCATCAGAAGATGACATATCCCCCCGGCCCCCACATATTTGAAAGAACAAATCATCTGACATTTATAAAAGACCAAATCATTTCCATGGAAATCATGAAAAATATAAATGCCAAAAATTTGTTAATAGCAAAAGGCACCACTTCAAGATCTGTCTCATACATCTGCCAAGTTCTGTTGAAAGATGTTGAACAGTTTCAGAGTTGTGCTCCGGAAACGATGCCCACCCCTCCCTTTTGAGACTAAGTCCGAATCGTTTCTATGGAAACTGGGAAAGATAAAAATGCCAAAAATTTGCAAATAGCAAAAGGCACCACTTTAGGTTCTGTTTGATATATCTACCAATTCTTGCAGAAAAAAATTGAACGGTTTTTGTGTTATGCTCCAGAAATGAAGCCCACCACTCCCTTTAAGACTAAGTCCAAAATGTTTCCATGGCAACCAAGAAAAATAAAAATGACAAAATTCTGTAAATAACAAAAGGCACTACCTTAGGTTCTGTTTGATATATCTACCAATTTTTGCTGAAAAATATTGAACGGTTTTGGAGTTATGCTTCGGAAACAAAATGATTACAGATGGACGGACAAGGCGTCGACTATATCCCCCCACATTACATGCCGGGGGGCATGTGATCAGTAAAATTAATTATCCTTATTTCTCTCAGGCACAAATAATAAGTTGGTGGATTCGTAAGCCAGGTTGTATATACGTCTGCCCAAGGCCTGACCATGATAGTAACCCCCATGTTCTACCCTCCAATGACTATCATCTGAAGTGGTACTCACGGTACAGAATGCAGTGTCTGTCCTGAGTTTTGTTCCTGACGAAGCCCGGGAGGCACTTCTCGCAGTTAAAGCCGGTGGTGTTGTAGGCACAGTGGGTGCATGCACCTGGGGAAGATATCACAAGCAGTCAGTCAGTTGGGTTGGAACGAATCTTTGAACAGAATTCAAAGATGAACATTCTGGTTCCACACATGAGCATGGCTACGTCACTGACAAAGCGTCATAATTGGGAAGTATCAAGGAACAAAACAACGAAAAAGCAGATCCTGGCACTACTAAGGGAAGAAACCTAAGATAGCTGAGCCACTTGAGTGAGTGAGTGAGCAATATTCCTGCAATAACACGGCGGAGGACACCAGAAATGGGCTTTACGCATTGTACCCATGTCTGGAATTGAACCCAGGCCTTCAGATTGAGGAGCGGACAATTTAACCTTTAGGCTATCCCACCGCCCCCTGCGCCACTTGAAGCAGAAGACACAGACACGCCGCTGGCACAAGAACATGATCTGTTAACATGGGAGTGAGGTCTGTTTTATGCTGCGGTCAGCTATAAGAATGTTGGTCATACGTTTTGTCGACCATGACACCTCTCCATTGCCAGCTGATTAAAATGTTCGTAATAATACAGTACGTTTTCATTGATTGTTGTTTAATGCCGCACTCAGCAATATTCCAGCTATATGGGGGCAGTCTGTAAAAAATCTAGTCTGGACCAGATAATCCAGTGATCAACAGCATGAGCATTGATCTACGCAATTGGGATACAATGACATGTGTCACCAAGTCAGAGAGCCTGACCACCTGCTGAATACTAATTCTAACCCGGATTTTCATGGGACAATAATACAGTAACAGTCAACCAACAGGTCTATTTGTCCATATCTCCTAAAGTATGGGAATATATGTATGCATTGGTCAACACACCTAAAAGGTATAGGCATATATATGGCATATAGTGTCATGCTTAAGTGCAATGGTCTACAAGGGGGTATAAATAATTTCTAGTTATCACCAAGACGTATTCAGGATAGAAACTTTATTTTGATTTCTTGTCCTTTAGACTTCTCTACATAATCACCATCCAGAGTGACACATTTCTCCCAACATTTCTTTACCTTGTGCAGACAGCTTAAATAGACCCCTGATTTCATGGAAAACCAACCCTCCACCTCTTCAATGACCTCATTGGTATCGTTAAAACGGAGTCAACATCTTGGCTCAACTGTGAGGGACATATGACCAGTTTGAAAATTCCTTTTCCATCTCACAACAATATCATAAGATGGACTATCTTCACCACAGATTTCATCTCCTCGTGAATGTGTCTGGCAGTGCAACCCTTCAAGTGCAAAAACTTGATAACGCTGCGTGCCTCAATTTACTCCATACATGGGGTTACTCATGTTTTGGATCAACTAGCACAAGATTGAATAAAGTGATGTAAATAGTTTTTGGTCCATCAACTAGATAAGGATCTCTGATGTTACCTGAAAATTTTCGTCATAATTTCTCAATAAATTCATGGTGATATAACTTTTTGATATCCCCTCATACAGGCCTTGAAAAGTATGGGTATATATGTAGGTGTATTGGTCAATAGACCTTGCAGAGCCTGGGCATACAGAAGGATGAGACAAGCCGTGGAGTCTCCACTGTACCTGTGTATGGGTCGCAGATTCTGTGTGCTGCAGGGTCGTTGTTGCCGTTGCAGTGGCAGGGAACACATTGGCCGTGGTAGCGGTAGTAGCCGTTGATGCACGACTGACAGAGATGCCCTGTGTAGTGGGGTTTACAAGCATTGCACACCAGGTAACCTTCACCTGAAACACAGCACACACCTGGTTACATTCACCTGAAACACACAGCACACACCTGGTTACATTCACCTGAAACACACAACACACACCAGGTAACCTTCACCTGAAACACACAGCACACACCTGGTTACATTCACCTGAAACACACAGCACACACCTGGTTACATTCACCTGAAACACACATTACACACCTGGTTACCTTCACCTGAAACACACAGCACACACCTGGTTACATTCACCTGGTTACATTCACCTGAAACACACATTACACACCAGGTTACATTCACCTGAAACACACAGCACACACCAGGTAACCTTCACCTGAAACACACAGCACACACCAGGTTATATTCACCTGAAACACACATTACACACCAGGTTACATTCAAATGAAACACACAGCACACACCAGGTTAGCTTCACCTGAAACACACATTACATGCCAGGTTACCTTCACCTGAAACACACATTACATGCCAGGTTACCTTCAGCTCAAACACACATTGCACGCCAGGTTGCCTTCACCTGAAACAAACATTACATGCCAGGTAACCTTCACCTCAAACACATATTACACACCAGGTAACCTTCACCTTAAACACACATTACACACCAGGCACCTGAAACACACATTACACACCAGGTTACCTTCACCTGAAACACACAATACACACCAGGTTACCTTTGCCTGAAACACACATTACACACCAGGTAACTGAAACACACATTACACACCAGGCAACCATCACCTGAAACACACAATACACACCAGGTTACATTCACCTGAAACACACAGCACACACCAGGTTACATTCACCTGAAACACACATTAAACACCAGGTTACATTCACCTGAAACACACAGCATACACCTGGTTACATTCACCTGAAACACACAACACATACCTGGTTACATTCACCTGAAACACACAACACATACCTGGTTACATTCACATGAAACACAGCACACACCAGGTTACATTCACCTGAAACACACAACACACACCAGGTAACCTTCACCTGAAACACACAGCACACACCAGGTTACATTCACCTGAAACACACATTACACACCAGGTTACATTCACCTGAAACACACAGCACGCACCAGGTTAGCTTCACCTGAAACACTCATTACATGCCAGGTTACCTTCAGCTCAAACACAGATCGCACGCCAGGTTGCCTTCACCTGAAACACACATTACATGCCAGGTAACCTTCACCTCAAACACATATTACACACCAGGTAACCTTCACCTTAAACACACATTACACACCAGGCACCTGAAACACACATTACACACCAGGTTACCTTCACCTGAAACACACAATACACACCAGGTTACCTTCGACTGAAACACACATTACACACCAGGTACCTGATACACACATTACACACCAGGCAACCATCACCTGAAACACACATTACACACCAGGTTACCTGAAACACACATTACACACCAGGTTACCTTCGCCTGAACACACATTACACACCAGGTAACCTTCACCTGAAACACACATTACACACAAGGTAACCTTCACCTGAAACACACATTACACACCAGGTAACCTTCACCTCAAGCTCACACATTACACACAAGGTAACCTTCACCTCACACATTACACACCAGGTAACCTTCACCTGAAACACACATTTTCACCTCAAGCTCACATTACACACCAGGTACCCTTCACCTCAAGCACACACATTACATGCCAGGTAACCTTCACCTTAAGCTCACATTACACACCAGGTAACCTTCACCTCACACATTACACACCAGGTAACCTTTACCTGAAACACACATTACACACCAGGTAACCTTCATCTCACACATTACACACAAGGTAACCTTCACCTCAAGCTCACATTACACACCAGGTAACCTTCACCTCAAGCTCACATTACACACCAGGTAACCTTCACCTCACACATAACACACCAGGTAACCTTCACCTCACACATTACACACCAGGTAACCTTCACCTCACACATAACACACCAGGTAACCTTCACCTGAAACACACATTACATGCCAGGTAACCTTCACCTCAAGCTCACATTACACACAAGGTAACCGTCACCTGAAACACACATTACATGCCAGGTAACCTTCACCTCAAGCTCACATTACACACCAGGTAACCTTCACTTCACACATTACACACAAGGTAACCTTGACCTTAAACACATATTACACACCAGGTAACCGTCACCTGAAACACACATTACACACCAGGTAACCTTCACCTTAAGCTCACATTACACACAAGGTAACCTTCACCTTAAACACACATTACACACAAGGTAACCTTCACCTGAAACACACAGCACACACCAGGTAACCTTCACCTGAAACACACATTACACACAAGGTAACCGTCACCTGAAACACACATTACACACCAGGTAACCTTCACCTCAGGCTAACATTACAAACAAGGTAACCTTCACCTTAAACACACATTACACACCAGGTAACCTTCACCTCAAGCTCACATTACACACAAGGTAACCTTCACCTCAAGCTCACATTACACACCAGGTAACCTTCACCTCAAGCTCACATTACACACCAGGTTACCTTCACCTCACACATTACACACAAGGTTACCTTCACCTCACACATTACACACCAGGTAACCTTCACCTCAAGCTCACATTACACACCAGGTAACCTTCACCTTAAACACACATTACACACCAGGTAACCTTCACCTCAAGCTCACATTACACACAAGGTAACCTTCACCTTAAACACACATTACACACCAGGTAACCTTCACCTCAAGCTCACATTACACACCAGGTTACCTTCACCTCACACATTACACACCAGGTAACCTTCACCTCAAGCTCACATTACACACCAGGTTACCTTCACCTCACACATTACACACCAGGTTACCTTCACCTGACACACACATTACACACCAGGTAACCTTCACCTCAAGCTCACATTACACACCAGGTTACCTTCACCTCACACATTACACACCAATTTTCCTTCACCTCACGCTTTACACAGCAGGTAACCTTCACCTCAAACACACATTACACACCAGGTAACCTTCACCTCAAGCTCACATTACACACAAGGTAACCTTCACCTGAAACACACATTACATGCCAGGTAACCTTCACCTCAAACACACATTACACACCAGGTTACCTTCACCTCACACATTACACACCAGGTAACCTTCACCTCAATCTCACATTACACGCCAGGTAACCTTCACCTCAAACACACATTACACGCCAGGTAACCATGGTTACTATTCCTTACGGTAGTAGCATGTTGGACCGTTGGTGGCCAGGGAGCTGCAAGGGCACCTGTTGCAGGGGAAGTAGGGGGCACTGCGGTAGTATCCGGGTCGACACATCTCACACAGGTAACCAGTGTACTGCCGACTACACTTGCACTTTCGGCCACTGGCAAAGTCACAAGAGGAATTCGGAACAGATCCCAAAAGGGAACAGCGACATTCTGAAAGAAATTTAAATCTGTCTTAAAACATGTCACTATTTTGTCCAGCATACTTTATTGTGGGGAGGGGTGGGGCTGGATGCATGTGTGGATGATGTATGAATAATTGTGAGGGTGCAGGTGTACGACCTAATTTACATGTTTACATAAGATATGTAAGATAAAATAGCAGCACGAGCTAGGATGTTTTTGAACGGACCTTTTTGAACACTGAAAGAGACAGTCCGTTTACAGAGGGTGAGTGAGTTTAGTTTTACGCCGCAGTCAGCAATATTCCAGCTTTATGGAGGCGGTCTGTAAATAATCGAGTCTGGACCAGACAATCAAGTGATCAGCAGCATGAGCATCGATCTGCACAACTGGGAACCGATGACATGTGTCAACCAAGTCAGCGAGCCTGACCACCCGATCCCGTTAGTCGCCTCTTATGACAAGCATGGTTTACTGAAGACCAATTCTAACCCGGATCCTCAATTTGTGTTGGAGATATACAAGGTGAACTTGTGTTGGAGATCTACAGGCTGTAATGTGTGCCTACTTGTGTTGGGAGACATACAAGGTGTAATGTGTGCCTACTTGTGTTGGGAGACATACAAGGTGTAATGTATGCCTACTTGTGTTGGGAGACATACAAGGTGTAATGTATGCCTACTTGTGTAGGAGATCTAAAGGCTGTAATGTGTGCCTACTTGTTTTGGGAGACATACAAGCTTTAATGTCTGTCTACTTGTATTGGAGATCTACAACCTGTAATGTGTGCCTACTTGCATTGGATGTCATAAGCTATAATGTGTGCCTACTTGTGTTGGAGATCTACAAGGTGAAATGTGTGCCTACTTGTGTTAGAGATATACAAGGTGTAATGTGTGCCTACTTGTGTTGGAGATCTACAAGGTGTAATGTGTGCCTACTTGTGTTGGGAGACATACAAGGTGTAATGTGTGCCTACTTGTGTTGGGAGACATACAAGGTGTAATGTGTGCCTACTTGTGTTGGACATATACAAGGTGTAATGTGTGCCTACTTGTGTTGGAGATCTACAAGGTGTAATATGTGCCTACTTGTGTTGGAAGATATACAAGGTGCAGAGATGCCAACCCATATGATTTTATCATATTCGTTACGAAAAAACAACACAAAATACGCGACTTTGATAGCAGTAAAAATATACAAATTTTAAAAAACCCACATTAAATGAAATTTTGAAGTAGCATATGTACCATACACAATAAATTTCGACCACATATTCAGTATCAAGCTATATGTAGATACTGACTACTGATTTAGGTGCATACAGTGTTAATTACAACATTACCTATATATTTCTTTATTAAATATGAAAATTCTTTAGAAAAGTTAATAGTAATTTTGGCCCATAAAATACTGATTATTGCATCAGTTTTGGCCAAAATACTAACTGGACTAAATTAGGGTTGGCATCTCTGAAGGTGTAACTTGTGCCTACTTGTGTTGGCTATTACAAGGTGTAACATGTGCCTACTTGTGTTGGAGATGTTGGTGGGGGTTGTCTCCTCTATGGTGGTGGAGTTGAGGATGTCTCCCGATGTGAAGTGTGCCGAGACAAAGATGCTATACGTGGCGCCAGTCTCCAGTTTTGTTAGGTTGTACTCCGTCTGATTGGCTGGCACGTCTACTGTCTTCACTTCTGCACCTGACGACAGAAACACACAGAGTGAGAGGGGATTCAGATCACATGGTTCCAGCTTAAACAACCTGTAAATAACAAGGCTGAAATTGAATGGTCTGCAGCTCCATGTTTTCAGTCTATTTATCAATAACATTAATATTGTAACATGTCACCAAATGTTACCAGCTATTTTCAGTTGCTATTAAGTAGCGCTGCAATGAATACACTATGTGGCGAATATGATACGTATCATGAATATTGGATAACGAATACGAATAATTATTCACGAATACAATATTGTAGTTAAGTGATTGATGTACAATATGGAACGCCCATGTTGACAGTTTTGATTTGTCACAGCAATAACCAGTGATCTCATGACACTCAAATTTGGTATATAATAGTTATAATTGACAGTACCGTGCGGCTTTGGCAAACTAACATGACTTGCACTACTGCAATGCTAGTACATGTTCCATTCTTGCATATCTCACTTTGGAAAAGGACATAGGGATTCAAGTAAAACATGCTCCCTTAAAAAAATCGTAAATATTTGTAGATATTCGGTTCTGGTGACCATGAATAACGAATTGAATTCATAAAGGGCTACTGTTCAATTCACCGAATATGCGAGTGAATCGTTACAGCCTTACTATCAATGTACTGACACATAGGTCATGGGGTGAGTGAGTGAGTTTAGTTTTATGTCTCTTTTATCAATATTCTAGCAATATCACGGCGGGGAACATCAGAAATGGGTTTCACATATTGTGTCCATGTGGGAATCGAACCCGGGTCTTCAGCGTGATGAGTGAACGCCTTAACCACTTGGCTACCCCACTGACCCATACGGTCATTGATATCAGGAAGCATTGATAGTTTTATTAGCATAGTTGTATCCTGCTTTGGACAGTATTTTCATTAAATCACCAGCGTGTCAGCTTGTTATGGGAAGAGAGCCAAACGTTAAGCAGGTCTTAGACATTTATCAGTGAGTGAGTGAGCTCAGCTTTACATCGTACTCAGCAATATTCCAGCTATATGGCAGCGATCTGTAAATAATCGAGTCTGGACCAGACAATCCAGTGATCAACATCATGAGCATCAATCTGCGCATTTGGGAACCAATGACATGTGTCAAGCCGATCACATGTCATTACATGACCACCCGATCCTGTTAGTCAATTGGGAGGAAACAATACACATGGTTTGTGTTATACTTATATATGACTTCAAACTAAGTGCCTTGATTACATAATGCCATTTAGAAAGTGGTCAAATACAACATATGTTATAAGTGCCTTGCTGTGCAAATTTGGAACAAACATCAGTTTCTTCAAAATCTTGTGGTTCTTTCTTTAATTGCATTTCAACACTGCATTTAATGAAAATATAAACCTGGGCCCTGTTTCACAAAGCTCTCGTAAGTCTAAGATCTCGTAACTTTTCTCGTATCATTCATACTCCCTATGTTACAGTATAGGAGGTATGAATTCTACGAGAAAAGTTACAAGATCTTAGGCTCACGAGAGTTTAGTGAAACGGGGCCCTAGAGAATAAAGTCTTCTCTGTGCAAAGTCATGGCATTATTAACTATTGTGAAAACATAAGATATGAAACTTCAAATTCCAGTTTGGGAACATTTACTAAATCTGCTGCAGACTTCGGTCAGTTAAATCCCTTCACTTATGGTGACAAAAAACAAGGGTCAAATTTTCTACCCATGATCTAGGTTCCTGGCATGGCAAAGGGAAGTCACTCTGCTCAGCCAGCTGTCTCCCACTGCCATCTTATATGATTGGACTTCCCATGCCCTTGCAATACACCCGTAGAGATCTGGGTTAGAATTTACCGTCAGCAACCCATGCTTGTCGTAAGAGGCGACTAACAGGGTTGGGTGGACAGGCTCGTTGACTTGGTTGACACATATAATTGTATCCCAGTTGCGTAGATCAATGCTCGTATTGTTAATCACTGAATTGTCTGGTCCAGACTCGATTATTTACAGACCGCCACCATACAGCTGGAATACTGCTGAGAGCGGCGTAAAGCTAATCCAGAGGTACAGATAAACTGCGTATCTGTGTAAATTACGCAAATATTTATGTAAAAACTCAATTCTCATTAAGTCAATTGTGTACAAGTACGCTTGAATGTTTGCAAATACTCAATAAATTTTATCTTACGAGCGTATACACAAAAATGTCAAATCTTAGCCTGCGTAGCGGTGCATAGATAAAATAACTGAGGTAAATTGAGAGGTTCTATTTCAACACATGAATTTGGCAAGTTGCAACTTCTTATCGTTTCTCATATTACAGATCCAATATAAATACCATTTAAACTTTGTTATATTTTAAAAATTATACCCAATTGAGTTTGAGCGAGGTGGGTACAATTTATTTGGTTACTCAAAGGAAAATTAGGATACCCAACTGAGATGAACACAAGCGAGTACATAACTCAATGACCCCAAAAGTTATCTGTAGCTCTGCTAAACCCACCCTTGAAATTAACACAAAATCCAGTATCTCAAAATGTCAGCATCCTGAAACACCAAAGGGACATAACTCTGCACAATGTATTGTCTACTCTACAATTAAGCCACCATTAACCTTAAGAATCAACACAAAAGACACAAGAAAGTAAAGTAGAAAAGAAATTTGCGACAACTAACCATCTTCTTTCTTGACGTAGCTGACAACATACTTCTCAACACAGCCTTGTTCAAAAGGAACATGTATCAAGTCTGTGGGGGCGTCGGAAGAATTAGTGTCAATTTTCTTATTTACAAAATTGACAATATTGTTGACAGTGTTCACTAGATGCTCCATTGTGTCAATGCTTTTAAAGGCTTCGTGTGACAGGCACTTTGGCTTGTACACCAGCAATTTACTCCCTGACGGCTGATCTGTCTTGGACGAGTCATTAACTGGCATAGACACTTCAACTGTTGCCGTGCTGACGTCCCCAGTAGGTGGCGCTAGGGTGGCAGTCACAGTCTCGTTGACTATATGGCTTGAGTTCCAGTATAAAACGTCTCTACTGTACCCAGTGGTGACATTGCTGTCAACTTCATGCACTGGGTACACGGCGGGTGCATCCCATTCAATGAAAATGTTTGTCCTTGATACAACCATGGCTGTCAGGTTCGCTGGGGGCTTTAACTGAACGCTGATCTGAGATTCATCTGCAACATACAATTACATAAAATTAGAAGTAGTAGTAGTTTTTGTTGTAGTAGTAGATGTAGTGGAAGTAGTAGTTATAGTAGTAGCAGTGGTGGTGGTGGTGGTGAGTGAGTGAATAATAGTAGTAGCAGCAGAGGTGGTGGTGGTGGTGGTGAGGAGTGAGTGAGTGAGTGAGTGAGTGAGTGAGTGAGTGAGTGAGTGAGTGAGTGAGTGAGTGAGTGAGTGAGTGAGTGAGTGAGTGAGTGGGAGTGAGTGAGTGAGTGAGTGAGTGAGTGAGTGAGTGAGTGAGTGAGTGAGTGAGTGAGTGAGTTTTATGCCGCACTCAGCAATATTCCAGCTATATGGCGGCGGTCTGTAAATAATTAAGTCCAGACCACACGATATGTCGTAGTAGGAGTAGTCACTAGTAGTAGTAGTAGACAATGAGGATGGCAGCATCAGCAGTGGCAGTGGTGATGAAGATGATGATGATGATGATGATGATGATGATGATGATGATGATGATGATGATGATGATGATGATTACAATGGACATGCGAGGGCCTAACATAAACCTTACATGAGTCAGAGACCAATAAACCTGACAAAAGGCATTGTTTTATTAACTTAGCATGCTAAATGTACTGTCTTATAAAGATTTCATACCCATTGGTTTAGATGGTTATGAGGTGTGATCTTATGCCTGCTTTCAGCCATGCTTGACGACCATGTGTACGTTAAATATGTAACAAGTTATTTCATTGGCTGATAAACTGCAAATCTGACGATGGATATACAACGCATCGAATCTGATAGGTCAAGAGTTAATGCATTCAAAAATGGCGTAAAACATCGTGGTTGTTGGTTTGTCGAAGTATTGCAGGCAAAAATAACTTTAATCTAATATTAATAAAATGTCAACTTTATGTGAAGGTAGGTTTCTTTAGAAATAGGACGGTTAAGACTTCCGCCCGTATTCCCCTTAAGTTTTAACGACGAGAAACATGGCATTTTTAGAAGTTGAAAATGTGTTTCAGTATGTTCAGATACAGTTGAAAACATGTTAAAACTCATCCTTATCAGGTGAGGAATATATGTTAGATTCTGGTGATATGATTTGAATGAAGTCTTTCCATAGGACGCGCCGATGAGGACGAGCTCTGAGAAATTTTATGGGCCATGTGAAAAATTATATTGGAGTGAGTGAGTGAATCAAGATTTTAAGTCACATTGACAGTACTGGAGCCACTGAATATGAAAATATGGTTATACATATTGTTTAAAGTAAAACTAGTTGCCATGGAAAAAATGCCAAGAAATATTTGGTAAAGTTTGGTAAAGAAATATTTAACGGTTTAAAGTTCTGTTCCAGAAAAGAGCACAACACCAATTTCACTATTTTCAGTCAAAGTTAAACTTGTTGCCATGGAAATGCAAAAAATATTATAATCAGAAATTCAAAACTACTAAAAGCACCAGTTCATCACCAGACCTATCTATGTGCCAAGTTTGGTGAAGAAATATTGAACGGTTTAAAAGTTCTGCTCCAGAAATGACAAATGTGCATGGATGCACGCATGGATGGACGGAGTGCATTTTAATATACACACCCCACCCCACCCCACCCCAAATTTCCAAACTTCGTTGCATGTTCATTTTCGGTGCGCTACGTGTGTTGGGATGAGTCATCTGGCACTTTTACAAGGGACCAGTCATTTCCTGATTTATTGAAAGAGAAGGTCAACAAGAATACAGGAAGGTCATCAAGAGTCATAACATGCCATATACAGTGGAAACCGCCTAAGTAAAGACTGCTTAACTAAACAGACCTGATAAGTAAACACTTTTGTTGGGTCCCGGCAAATTTCTTCATTAATTATCACTATTAGAGTCTGGTTAACTAAACTCGGATAAGTAAACAATACCGCTTAACTAAACGTCTTCTCATGGTCCCTGGAAGTAAATTACTTAACAAAAGAGACCGGATAACTAAATTAGCGATCACCACATAATCCGACATGAGGGGCAGTCGTGTCAGTCTCCAGTCAAACAAACATCCTACTTACAGCTCGCTGGCGTCAAGCAGTTGACAATACACTGCCAGCCCTGATTAGTTGTTCATTGTAACATATGCATACATATATATGCATACGGGTGTCATTTGCAGGTTTTGTAAGTTTGGATAAGTAAAATACCTGATAAGTAAACAATTTTGGCGAGTCCCTTGGAATTTTACTTATCAGGTTTCCACTGTATAATATGGATGCATTCGAAGAAGTAACAGAGCAATGTCTTACACTTGGGACATCTGGAAGTCTGTTCACAGGGTGAACAGCATGTGCTTATGCATATGCATACTTAAATCAACATCTAGATCCAGACAAGAAACATTTCTGAGCATACATACTTGTGATCACTGTTGCCACAGGTACACGTGAGTGAGTGAATATAGCTAAAGCATGGCAAGCCGCTATTTGCAGCTCTTTCAACAAAGATATGAAATACTAAGGGTCACTATTGAGGGGGAAACAACATTGCGATAGCGAAAGTCTATTGTGACCAACTATTGCAATAGTTTTTTTCTCCTTTGTCTCATTTAAAGTCATTTCCCAAATGAATGTATAGTTTGTATGAAATAAAAACAAGTTGAAGTAATTTCAGTCTCTTTAATATCTGACAAGAAACTTGAAACCCAGATCAAGTTAACAGTTAACATGGAACAGACGCGGATAACTCTAAATCAAAGTGAGCGAATCTGGAACTAACTGTATTTTGCGTTGCGCGCTGTGCACTTATCAACGGAAGTCAATTAATAAACTATCCATAGTCACACAAACTATCGATGCATCGATAGTTTTTCGTTTCTAGCATCGATTAATTGCTATCGGAGACTCAACAATTGCAATCCATCGATAGTTTGATGCATCGTTACAGTCCTATGAAATACTGCATGAACCAATACAGTCTAAGTAGCTGCTAGCAAGTATGATACAAAAAAAAATGAAAAAAGGATAAAATAGATAACAATCTGAATATTGTAACCATGGAAACAAAATAAATATTATATTTACATTAAAAAGACATTCATAAGAAACCAAGAAGGAAGGTTTTATGTCACAACAATCGCAAGGAATAGGCCTTTACCATGTTTACCTCCAGGGAGAAATAAACTCAAGAGTGAGGTGAAGTGAAAGTGGGTTTAACGTCGTGCTTGAGAATATTTCGCTCATATGACGACGTGCATGCGTGTGTGTGTGTGTGTGTGTGTATGTATGTGCGGCTGCTTGTACTAGCCCCGACTGAAGCTGGTTTTATAGTGCTAGCCCACTGAGATACCATGCCGCAGTGAAGCATGAATACCCCACTCAGACACATTATTCTGACTCCGAGCCAACCAGTCCTTGTTGTACCCATTAATGCCGAGCGCCAGGCAGGGACCAACAAGCACCACATTTTAACGTCTTATGGTATGACGCGGTCAGGGATCGAACCCGCGACCTTCCGCTCTCCGGGCGGACGCTCTAACCACTACACCACGGAGGCGGTATAAACTCAAGAAAAAATAATTCATCGATGAGTGTGTGAGTGAGTGAATGAATGAGCTTAGTTTTACACTGCTTGTAGCAACATTCCAGCAATGTCACAGTGGGGACACCAGAAATGGGCCACACACTTTGTACTCATGGAGGGAATCAAACCTGGGTCTTCAGCGTGACGAGTGAATGCTTTCACCACTTGGCTACGCGCCAAAACCCCAATTCATTGATGATACAAAATATACACTTAATACTGGCACCAATCCTGTTGACTTAAAACTGGATGATTAGTATCAGGGTATGAAATAAGTCCTGTCCGACCGTCCGTGACGGGCTAGATTTCTGCCGGACGGTCTAATTTTACAGCTAGCGGACGGGTGAAAAAAAATGTGTCCACTGGCACTGTCTATTAGTATTTAAGAAGGACTGGTTAAATCTCTTCTGGGCTTGTAAGTTTGTTAAGTTTGGCTGTTTTTTTGGCATATTTTATACACTGTTAGTATATTGTGATATTATACTACTCACACTTTGAAATTCTTATCACTATCCACCTGACGAAGGGGCTAGAACTAGCCCAGATACGTTGTGTAAAATAAATCAAGAAGTTGTCATCCATAAGATTTGTCTTGTATTACTCACACTTTGCTAAGGATCACAAAAATTCACAACTTTACTTAAACATAGAGTTATGATTTGAAATTGTATTCATTTAAAAATAGTTAAACGATAATATGGTAACCCCTCTTTAGGCAAACAGTCACTTTAATCTAACCTTATGCACCTGATACATGAGTAACCATAAAAAATGGTTTTCATGGCATCAATCAACCATTTTGCAAATCATGGAACGAGTCATTGACAAGTACACAACACCTGTCAATAGCAGGTATGGGATCCACAAGATGAAATGACACACTGTATGATCCAGGCTTACAATAAGCTTAGATATTTAAACCAAATTTGACCCAACATCATAGTTTTCTGATGAATCCATGATTTGATCCTTAGCAAAGTGTGAATAATGTACAACAGGGGTGGAAATAACTTTAAAATTGCTAGTGTACTCCGGTACAATGGCACATGTAAAATCACTTGCCCTGATAATTTTTCCACTATACCAGCCGTTTTCTTGTTGATTTTTTAAATAAACAACATAATTAATATTGGAAAGTCAACTGGACACCGGTACAGTGTGATATACAAATTTGCTTGCCCAACAGAAAAAAAACACTGGACTCGGGCGTCGGGCAATGGGATATTTCCACCCCTGTACAATACATTAGCTTAATGGGCCAAAGTTGAAGTCATAGCCTAAGTTTAGTCAGAAAAACGTGATGACACTTATTAAGCAGATCATGGCAATTAATAATACAAAGTAGACATAACTATCCTAACCATTGCTAACTATTGCTTTGTTGAATGGCATGTGTGGGAGATGGGATTTTGTACCTTAGGCTAGTATTTTATCTATAGCTATAAGTGAAACTAACATTTTACTTGTGCGTTTTCCCTAAATCCGGATATGTTACTTGTTGTGGATCTGTAAATGATAATGAAAATTTACATACATGCTAAAAATTGTCATTTCTCGAAACTATGATGATAATCGGCTACACTTTAGACACATCCGCTGCCATCAGAATATAAACCAAACAAAGTGTAGTGTCTTATATTACTGAACACTTCGCATGTCAGCTAGCTGTACCAGCATAACCCTAAGAGAGGGCCCTGACTGGGCATACTGTTTAAAGTAAAACATATTAAAAACATAAGAAGAGTCAAATATTTAACATACCAAAAATTAACATAAAATGTCAAAATAAAAATGCACTGTGTCAATTATATTTTTACTGTTGTCCATTATCATGCAAATATGTTGTAAATCTTACATGTATTTAGGTCTAACAACACGACAAAAACAACCTGCTTGTAATATTGGTAAAACACAAACGGTAAGGTAATGAAACACAAGCAGAACCATATGTCTCCATGATTCCCTATAGATAGACTGACAATCCACATTTGCATAGAAATGATTTTGCGTTTTAGTTTCAACTTGACAGCTTGCCCTCTAATCAAGTGTTTTAACCAAGTTGAGAAATGATGATTGACTAAAAGTCCCTAATTTTAGTGCTACTGACTGGAAACACCCCCCATCAAGACCCTCTCTAACACTGTCAACACGAAACGTAACTGTCAAGTTAGGAAACGTCATAATCCAACACACGGCACTAATCATGCTAATTACAACACCTACTACTAACGAACTAGATATTAACTGCAAACAGTCAATAAGCCATAGAAAGAGAGTCTAAAGTATATTGGCCATATTGGCTGAAGGAAGACTCCATGTTGTCACTCACAAACACCCATCAGAACTCGAGGCTCCGAATACTTTTGGAGCTATTGACTACTTCTATGTTTGATCCCCAGGGATTGAAACAGTGCTTAATTTGCATGCCATGGTATATTAAATATTGAAATGACACGGATGAAATATTTTAATGTGCCTCAAGGGCACAACTCAAAATTAAATGATAAAAATAGGTTCTCATCATGATTCATTTATTGGAAAATGCGATAAATTTCACCAAATGAAATCCTTCAAAACTTAATCGTGAGCCCCATCAACAAGAGGAAACTGTTTATCGGTGGCGCTCTCAATCTGACAATCCATTTTGATTGCCATTGTGCAGAAAAGGAAGTAAATGCTTGGATGAAAGCATAGTTTCTGGGTCCGGGACAAACAAAGCTGATCTATTCTTGCAGTCACAACAGTGTTCAGGAAATCAATCTTTTAAGTTTAAAGGTTCACATGATGCTAACTGATTTAATAAACAAACTGAAATGAATATATTAGTGTGATGTTCTAAGTCTAACTAGATCATCCACAGACATGGGCACACTTATTTTCACAAAGGTAAAACTAAACTATCTGGCCAGTGCCAAATGCAACCCATCAACATGATAAAGGAATTACATTTCTTTCCCTGCTCACAAATTATTGAAGCTGTTTAAAAATGTAATTTTTATGATAAAATGCTATTTCAGGTGACTTTATGTTTGTTGTTTGTGTGCTGCCCAAGTCTGTAACACATGGCATAAACTCGACCCAGCAATGTCTAGTTAACATAAAGCGAGATGTTGTAGCCATTATACACATTAGTCACCATAGCAGAGTTCATATATAATACCTTAAAATAGGATTTCATAAAAATACAGTATGCACATTGAAAACTCTACAATTCATCTAAAGCTATGTGAAATGATGCAGCTTCCAGATGACAGACCAAGTCATCACCATGTAGACAACTAAACATATATCACTACCCAACACAAATGGCCAATAAGGTCGTACAGAACAAGTTTCTGACACTAACAGAGAGGGTACATTTCTGTATTGTGATGTCAGAGGGAGAGGGTATATTTCTGTATTGTGATGTCAGAGGGAGAGGGTATATTTCTGTATTGTGATGTCAGAGAGGGTATATTTCTGTATTGTGATGTCAGAGGGAGAGGGTATATTTCTGTATTGTGATGTCAGAGGGAGAGGGTATATTTCTGTATTGTGATGTCAGAGAGGGTATATTTCTGTATTGTGATGTCAGAAAGAGTATATTTCTGTATTGTGATGTCAAAGAGTGTATATTTCTGTATTGATGTCAGAGAGTGTATATTTCTGTATTGTGATGTCAGGAAGAGTATATTTCTGCATCGTTATGTCAGAGAGGGTATATTTCTGTATTGTAATGTCAAAGAGTGTATATTACTGTATTGAGATGTCAGGAAGAGTATATTTCTGCATTGTTATGTCAGAGAGTGTATATTTCTGTATTGTAATGTCAAAGAGTGTATATTACTGTATTGTGATGTCAGGAAGAGTATATTTCTGTATTGTGATGTCAGGAAGAGTATATTTCTGTATTGTAATGTCAGAGAGTGTATATTTCTGTATTGTGATATCAGAAGGAGTATATATTTCTGCATCGTTATGTCAGGAAGAGTATATTTCTGCATCGTTATATCAGAGAGGGTACTTCCGTAGTATCTCATGGATTAGTCATCCACTCAGTCATCGCCATAGCCACGACAGGTCCTAAGGTCAAGGCATGACCCTATATCAGCATGATCAGGTCATGTCTTGACTGCAGGACCCCATCACTGCTCTCATGTAAGTCAGAGACACACAGGGTATACAAGTAAAGAGAAGACAACTTGCAGTTATTAGTCTCACTTGCACCAGGTGCAAGTCATTTTTTGAGAAATAAATCAACAATTAATCTAACAATATAAGCATAAATATGTCAGCTCCATTTTGTTCTAAACTTTGAATAGCTATGGCAACGAAACATTGCTATTCATAGACACGTCGCGGCTATGATAGCTCAAGATTGTAAACAGGGATCAGCTGTGTCTCTGCGTTGCTATGGTTTCAATGGTACTACATGACATAAATATGTTTATGTGCACCGAAACCCCTGATGTTTTAACACACTACGTTGCAACTGGAATTTGGCTGGTGCAACTAGGTTTTTATCTTAGGTTGCACCTGGTGCAAGTAGGTTAACATCTTTTAAATCAAGCCCTGTATTGTCAAGCGCCAAACATGATAAACATCAAGTCTACTTGATAACGAATATGAATATTGGGTTATGAGTACAAAAACAAGTATGCAGCTGAATCATTATTCATTATATTCAGTTAAGCAATAACAAAATATATTCTATGACAAGATTTGACCACAGTGACAGTGTAACATATGTTATATTTGGGACTACACTTTCTTAGTAAAGAACAGATTCTAGTACTTTTAGGGTTGAGTCCCATCCGGGATTCGAACCCACACCCTCAGAGTCAGGCACCTAATCACCAGCACACAAAGTCTGATGCCTAGACCGCTCAGCCACTGCGACTCCACAGATGGGTACACAAAGTCTGCAGTCAAGACTACCAGTTGCCCGACTTCCATTTTGTGGAAGCCGTGTGGCTGAGCTTGTGTTCCATACAAGATAATATACACACTAATGTTCCATACATGATAATATACATACAGGTGTTGAAATACCCCATATATTAGTGTGCCATGGCACGGTAAATATAGAAATGGCATGGCTAAAAAAAGTTCTCGGTGCCCTTTTGACACGACTAATTTTTTAAGAGACATAACTCACATTTAGTCATTTAATCCCCAAACAATTATTTTTTTCCAAATTGAATTATACCATACATATCTGAATGTTCATAAACCCATTTCTTTATTTAACAATAAATTTCAAATGATGATCATCATTGTCATTTATTCTAAAAACTTGTGGGCATACTCAATTTCAGAAAGGCACACCGAAAATATTTGTCTGGTGCCTTAAGGCACACTTAGAAAAAAATGTATTTCTATCCCTGACACAGTAATGTTCCTTACATAATTTACACACTTGTATGTACCATACATGACAAACACACTTAAGTCACAAATACATTACACACCTATGTCCCATTCATGAAAATACACACGTCTGTCGCAGGATAATCTACACACTTCTACTCCATACATGATAATTTAAACACTTATCTCTCATACAAGCTAATATAAACACTTATGTCCCCTACATGATAAGCATGATAATATAAGTATTACAATGAATGAAAACTTGTCACCTTATTCAAAATGGTATTCCAATCTACACCATAACATCAAATATATCGTAATTGAGAAAATGCATATCGATTATGTCCATAGAAGTACCTTCCTTGTTCACAAGACCAACTTCTAAATGCCAGTCAAAGACCAACACTTGTTTTGGTCATAAAATCCTCAAAAATGCCAGACAAGTTTTTTTCCATGCTATTCTTAAACATGATGCAACATTATCCTAAAACCATGTACAAGTAATCAACTGAATTCGTTAAAATATAATCCTCATTTCTCACAAGTGAGTAAATATCTTCATCGCCGTATATTTTAGCTATTGGGTTTTTATATGTTTCGTGGAAGTACAGGTAGGTAAGCCAAAGATCCTAATGATTAAAACATCATCCAATTCGACAATATTCAAGCATTAAGCTTTTTTAAAGCTGGTGAAAATGTAATTAACTGACAGGTATGTGACTATGCTAAACTTCGAGCTTACAAAAATCGTAGACCAATAATTCATGTTATCAAATACCGTGGACACAAATTTACCACCAGAAATTATCCATAAAATCGTCAATTTGAAGGCTACACACCTGTTCCGTTCGCTTTCACCTGGGGTTGCTCGGTGCTGACATCTCCCCGAACTGCCTGAAGACAACACAGTATCACCAACCAATATATTGTTGTCATTTTGTAATCACCAGGCGATCAAACGTATTCCGTATGTGACAACTTGATGATATTCTTGTGATTCATCTGTTCAATAGTTCAGCTGGTTTTCAATGGCGCACCTCGTTGTGAAAATCAAAGGGAGGTAATTCCGATTTACAACGGGAGGTAACCACTCAAATACAGCTGGACCTATGGGATTTGGATTTCATTGACTGTACAAGAGACCCGAGAAGATCCGGGTTAGAATTGGCCTTCAGTAACCCATGCTTGTCGTTAGAGGAGACTAACGGTTTTTAGGCTCGCTGACTTGGTTGCCACATGCTATCGTATTCCAGTTGCGTAGATTGATGCTCATGCTGTTGATCACTGGATTGTCTGGTCAAGACTCGATTATTTACAGACCGCCGCCATATAGCCGGGATATTACTGAGTGCAACAAACCAAATACTACATTGTTGTTCTTGATTCAGCAGCAGACATTGATGTACAAACTACTCGACGCGAAGACTTGCAGTAAAGAATCATTTGGAAGCTTCTAGGGGCGGTGGGGTAGACTAGTGGTTAAAGCGTTGGCTCGTCATGCTGAAGACCCGGGTTCGATTCCCCACATGGGCACAATGTGTTAAGCCCATTTCTGGTGTTCCCCGCCGTGATATTGCTGGAATATTGCTAAAAGCGGCGTAAAACTAAACTCAGTCAGTCAGTCAGTGGAAGCTTCTAGAGCGACCGGATTTTTTTTATTAAAATTAGCAAAGAAATATTTGGGTGATTCGGGTGGGCACGATCGCTGACTTAGTTGACACATGTCATCGGTTCCCAATTACGTAGATCGATGCTATTGCTGTTGATCACTGGATTGTCTGGTCCAGACATGATTATTTACAGACCGCTGCCGTATAGCTGGAATATTGCGGAGTGCGGCGTGAAACTCAATTATCATACATTGCTGCACGGGACCTGTGCTAATAATAGTCTGATTATATTTATAAGAATGTTTGTAAATACGGCTTCAAGCACTATTTTAGTTGAATCACCCCGTATAGACATGGCGGAGGACAAGTTTAGATGTGATCAAATGTGTCAGCATCTGATACATTTTAGCCAGTTGTCCGTAGAAATGGAATCGATAATATTCCATTATGAGGATTTCTGCAAATGAGTTTCCACAAATGATTTAATTAAAAACTTCAGTTCAAATATTAACATCAGAAATGTGAATATGTTGAATTATATTACAGTAGTCTATCAAGTGGTTCATTGCTTTTAGGTTCTGCGAACCGCCTCCGTGGTGTAGTGGTAAGAGCGTCCGCCCAGAGAGCGGAAGGTCGCGGGTTCGATCCCCGACCGCGTCATACCAAAAGACGTTAAAATATGGTACTTGTTGGTCCATGCCTGGCGCTCGGCATTAATGGGTACAACAAGGACTGGTTGGCTCGGAGTCAGTATACTGTGTCTGAGTGGGGTATTCATGCTTCACTGCGGCATGGTATCTCAGTGGGCTAGCAGAGATGCCAACCCTTACGCTTTGGGCGTAATTATTACGATTTTGACCATTAAATTACGCCATTACACTAAATCTGTGAAAATTACGCTTTTCTACCCGTTTTGCGAAAATCAATAAAGTGGTTAAAATTTCACAGGGAATATTTTTCGTAACGCACTAGTGCAGGGGTTCTGAATTGGCCTTACACCGATAGGAATCGCTTACTCTTAGCAATGCGCTCATTCAAATTAACTTGTAAGGAATTAAAGTATTTTGTGTCACCTGACCAACAATTTCTGATGTATGGAACTGTATAATGATTGGTCACGTGTATTTCTGTCTAGAATCTTTCCTATTCATGTGAATAAACCTTTTTAAAAGTAATTTTTATTAAGTTATCACCTTTCACTATGTAAGTGTTTTAAGTATTACACTTTTTAGGTCCAAATTACACTTTTTGACCTCCAGTATTACACTTAGGCCCAAAATAGTGTTGGCATCTCTTTATAAAACCAGCTTCAGTCTGAGCTAGTACAAGCAGGCTGGGTACACACGCATGCACGTCGTCATATGAAATATTCTCAAGCACGACGTTAAAGCCAATTTCACCTCACCTCACCTTAGGTTCTGCGAGGCAGATATAAAGAATGGAGATTTTCCTAAGTCTAATTTTACGATGAGTGTGAGGCTGGGTTTACTTTGCTGTATCACAAGTGGCAATTTTATATCAGAGAAGAGGCCTACACGTTGATGACACCCATGAAATCTGTGGGGCGGTGGGATAGCCTAGCGGTCAAAGCGTTCGCTCGTCACGCCAAGCGTGCCAAGAACAATTGCTCCAGCAGCCGTGACCTAGAACATGAGCTGAACCACCTGCAACATGTCTTCACGAGCCTCACCCAGTATCCCACCAACATAGTCAAAAGGACCATCTCCACCACCCTCCATGACAAACCCAAACTGACCAAGCCAGAATCAGCCCCCATCAGAATCACCCTATACCCTTCATCGGCAAGACCTCCCATCAAATCAGCAGACTACTAAAGCACCAAGCAGGCACAGACACCATCTTCAATGGCTCTGCAACCCTCAGGACCATCCTCCAAGCCAATGGCCGCAACCTACCCTCCAAAAAGCAGCCCCCCAAAAGAGTGATCTACAAACTTAATTGTGAATGTGGTGACTCCTATATTGGTGAAACCTCCCGTCCCGTTGATATCTGCATTAAAGAACATAAAACCTCGACAGCAAAATCAGACAGCAAATCAGCCCTCTCCGATCACCAACAGAAATTCCCTACCCATCAAATCAAGTTTGACAAATTTGAAATCCTATTAACCAAGAATCAGGACTTCACAAAAAGAAAACTCTTGGAAGCAATCGAAATACGCCGCCACAAACCTTTGATCAACAGAGACCAAGGATACTACATACTAACGGCCTATGAAGAACTAATCCAATCAGCTTCTTAATCCCCCTTGTTTATTGGCTTCGTTCCCAGTCTCATTTGTTGTTCTTAGTCTCCCACTGGCCTCTCATAATTATGTACCAGTTGTTATTCAATTACATGTTGTTGTTAATGTTAATCTGCTGTTGTCAAAACATACTCTGTATATACAGTGAGACCTCGGATATCCGGACACAATCGGTTTTACGTAAATCGTCCGGATAATTGAATATCCGGATATCTGGATTTTTGGTTTTCATACACCTCAAGGAAAATCCAAAACGTTTATGATCATCAAGCGTTTATTGTACATGAATAGACATTCAAAAACAGCATCACAACATAACAATCATACCTTTACAATTATTCAGTTTTGAAAAAGTCTTTCATTGAGGACTGCTTACACTGGGTGCGGTTCCTTTGCAACACGACGGACAACATTTTGTCCAGGTTTTGTACCTGTATACTCCTCTACACCTGGTTGTATTCACTTTTAGCTTGATAACATGTAAGAATCTACATCGAAACGTCGCTTTTTGCAATAAATAAGAAGTTGTCATCCATAAAGTTGTATGTTTCATTTCCGGGTTCGATTCCCTACATGGGTGCGATGTGTGAAGCCCATTTCGTGTGTCCCCCCGCCGTGATATTGCTGGAATATTGCTAAAAGTGGCGTAAAACCCAACTCACACTCACTCACCCATGAAATCTGTACGAATCTGGAATGACAACCATGATATCGGGTCCGGTCACTGCTATAAGGGAAACAACTCTCCACATTGACGTTCTCTTTCGCGACAATCAGACCCGTTTATCCATTTATATACTTGGCTGAATAGAAGTGGCTGAAGGAGTAATGCATTTGCAGTAATTATATTTGACGTGACTGGAGTGACTGGTCGAACCTGGATACCCTGTGTGGCCAAGAACTTCGTATGAATCACCGGATTATCTACCAAATCATGTAACAACCTATTGTCCGTTACCGTGTTCACTGCCACGATGAGTTACCTCCCTTTGTTAAGGACAACCAACAACGTGAATCGTTCTTGTTTGTTTTCTATTTATGCTCAATATATTATTTATACTTTCATCGGAAGACGTCTGTTAACATGAGATGTTTATTCAACGGACTGTTATTTTAGTCAGCTACGTCCGGATCTCAAAGCATTGTTCTCATAGCAAGTTGATTGTCGGGACTGTTATTTTAATCTGTAATCCGTAATTGAGAGAGTCCGGATTGTAAAGTACGCTTCAATGATAAATTAAGAACAATTTTGCCATAACTCAGAGAGTAGTCCGGATTATGGAGAAAACCGGATTACACAGAGTCCGGATTTGACAGATTCCACTGTACCTCGTTTTCTATATACTTCCTAACAATCAGAACGTAATATCTTAGATGATGGATTCTTGGGTTTAGACAACGCAACTCCAACTAGACAGTTCTGTGTCGTCTCCATGTTCCAACACAACGCAGTCGGCGGCAGTATCAACACGACACAGCTGTCTGACAACACCGTCAGTACACAGTCACACAGGACCGCTGAGGACAGCCAGCGTGCAGCTGCAAGCATGAATAATTGATGCTCCGCGACAGGGAGCCTGGAGTCATGTGACCGTGGCGTGTCAGTACAACCAACCACAGTGTTGGCGGAGGAATATTGATGATGGTTTTCAAGCACACGGATGTTGTGCGGTTACACATTGAGACCACTGTGGTGGTGGACAAATCACATCTGGCGATGGCTGATATGAAGTATATATTACACCTCAAACACTGAGACTGTTGTTGTGGTGTGTACATAAACCCCACATCTGGAGACTGTTGTGGTGGTGTGTACATAAACCCCACACCTGGAGACTGTTGTTAAGGTGTGTACATAAACCCCACACCTGGAGACTGTTGTTGTGGTGTGTACATAAACCCCACACCTGGAGACTGTTGTTGTGGTGTGTACATAAACATCCCACACCTACATAAACCCCACACTGTGGTGTGTACATAGACCTCACACCCGGAGACTGTTGTTGTGGTGTGTACATAAACCCCACACCTGGAGACTGTTGTTGTGGTGTGTACATAAACCCCACACCTGGAGACTGTTGTTGTGGTGTGTGGAAACTGTTGTGGTGTGTACATAAACCCACACCCAAACTGTTGTTGTGGTGTGTACATAAACCCCACACCTGGAGACTGTTGTTGTGGTGTGTACCACCTGGAGACTGTTGTTGTGGTGTGTACATAAACCCCACACCTGGAGACTGTTGTTGTGGTGTGTACATAAACCCCACACCTGGAGTTGTTGTACATAAATCCCACACCTGGAGACTGTTGTTGTGGTGTGTACATAAACCCCACACCTGGAGACTGTTGTTGTGGTGTGTACATAAATCCCACACCTGGAGACTGTTGTTGTGGTGTGTACATAAACTCCCACACCTGGAGACTGTTGTTGTGGTGTGTACATAAACCCCACACCTGGAGACTGTTGTTGTGGTGTGTACATAAATCCCACACCTGGAGACTGTTGTTGTGAGACTGTTGTTGTGGTGTGTACATAAATCCTACACCTGGAGACTGTTGTTGTGGTGTGTACATAAACTCTACACCAGGAGACTGTTGTTGTGGTGTGTACATAAACTCTACACCTGGATACTGTTGTTGTTGTGTGTACATAAACTCTACACCTGGAGACTGTTGTTGTGGTGTGTACATAAACTCTACACCAGGAGACTGTTGTTGTTGTGTGTACATAAACTCTACACGTGGAGACTGTTGTTGTGGTGTGTACATAAACCCCACACCTGGAGTACATAAACTCTACACCTGGAGACTGTTGTTGTGGTGTGTACATAAACCCCACACCTGGAGACTGTTGTGGTGTGTACATAAACCCCACACCTGGAGACTGTTGTTATGTGTACATAAACCCCACACCTGGAGACTGTTGTTATGTATACGTAAACCCCACACCAGGAGACTGTTGTTGTGGTGTGTGCATAAACCCCACACCTGGAGACTGTTGTTGTGGTGTGTACATAAACCCCACACCTGGAGACTGTTGTTGTGTGTACATAAACCCAACACCTGGAGACTGTTGTAGTGTTGTGTACATAAACCTTACACCTGGAGACTGTTGTTGTGTGTACATAAACCCCACACCCGGAGACTGTTGTTGTGGTGTGTACATAAACCCCACACCCGGAGACTGTTGTTGTGGTGTGTACATAAACCCCACACCTGGAGACTGTTGTTGTGTATACATAAACCTTACACCTGGAGAGTACCCGTGAAGGTCCGGGTTAGAATATTGATCTTCATTAACCAATGCTTGTCGTAAGAGGCAACTAACGGGATCGGGTGGTCAGGCTCGTAGACTTGGTTGACACGTCATCGGTTCCTAATTGTGCAGATTGATGCTCGTGCTGTTGATCACTGGATGGTCTTGTCCAGATTCGATTATTAACAGACCGCCGCCATATTGCTGAATGGGGCGTAAAACTAAACTCACTCACTCACTCACTACACTTGGAGACTGTTTTTATGGTGTGTACATAAACCCTACACCTGCAGACTGTTTTTATGGTGTGTACATACACCCCACACCTGGAGACTGTTGTTATGGTGTATATATCACAGCATACACATTGATTCTACTATCATGGTGTGTACATCAAACCTTCCACCTGGTGTAATTACCATCATAACAAATGGACAAACATTCAAGAATCACCCTTTCACCCTACCCTCATCAATTTGCTCACTTAGTGAGTGCGTTTATTTCTATTTATTTTTTATTTCAGCAATATCACGACAGGTGACAGCTGAACTGGGCTTCACAAATTGTACCCATGTGAGGAATCGAATCCACTAGTTGGCATGACGACCAAATGGTTTAACCACTAGGCTACCGCACCACCCACATTCAGGTTTGAGACTAAAGCCTTGCTTACATGCACCACATTTACCCCCATGGGTATTTTGCCCCTGGGGGTTAATTTACCCGCAAGGGCAAATGGCAAAATTGTGCCTGCGTTACATGGTGGGAGGTATTGATATTTCTTGTCACTTCTCTATAACCATGGATGAATATAGACGTTTGTCCAAATCTAGAAAACGGAAGAGATTCGTCCAAACTTTGTGCGTGGGTTCATCACTAGAGAACGCCTTGTTTTGGAAAGGAGTAGATATTGGTGGGAAGTAAATGTACCACGTTTTGATGAAACTCAGTGTAAAGAAAACGTCAGAATGTCAAGGGACATGTGCCAGCGCTTCTGTGAAAAGTTCCAGCTTCACATTCAAAAAGATTCGAGTAGCAGTGACAATATACTACTTGGCCACAACAGTAGAATATCGCATTGTTGGTAATCTGTTTAGGATTCACAGGTCAACAGTTTCTTGTGTAGTACATGAAGTGTGTTATGCCACTTGTACACACGTGTTTCCAGATGTTGTGAAGTTTCCTATAGGCGAGGAAAGCTTCAAAGCTTACCACAGACTGGAAGGAAAGAGTGGGTAGTGCTAATGATGGTGACATGCCTGGCGTCATCATTGCAGATCCGGCCTGACACGTCTCACTAGCTCTTTACACTTTACGGCAACGGAGGAACCCAATCGGATGAGAAGTCTTACTTCAACTTCCGCTTCATAAGTGCCCGGATGGTCATTGAAATACATTTGGACGCTTCCAAAGGAAGATGTAGGCGCATAACATGTGTGAATCAGACCACATGTTCAACCCTGACTGCCTGGATGAGGTTGATGAGATACATGATGGCGACCAAGGACCACAAGGTCAAGTTGATACCACTTGACAAGAATGTTGGACATTGGATGGATGATGGATTGGCATATGGTTGAGGAGTGTTCATGATGAACTGTAGCATACGCAATTGGTGTTCTCTGTCAGAAGCTTTCTGTCTTTCTCCTTTATCCAGTTTCCTGAGTGCAAGCTCTCTATTTTCTTTCTCTCGTCATTTTTCTCATTTCCAGCTCAATTTGTTTCTTTTCCAACTCAATCTGCCTTGCTTCAATATCTTCATTAGGTTTAGCAAACTAGTCCATGACAGTTTTCAAAGTTGTTTGCAGTTTGGGTTTTCTTTGTTTTCCTTTTTGTTTGTTTTCATATGACCATTTTGTTGGCCATTTTTAACACATTCATAATCTCCTGGCTCAGCAAGTTCGACATCATCAGCAATGTTGTCGGTAACATGATCATCAGTAACTTCAAGATCAGATATGTCTGTATCTGATGCAACTGACTGCTGGAGACTTTGAATGCCCGTTCCAGGTGATGTCGCAAAATTTCATTTAGCTGTTCATAAAATGTGCAGAATTTTCGGGTCTGTCCACTCCTCTTAAGTGAATCCCTACACTGTCTATATGATTTTTAAGTGTTTTCGTTCGTTCTGTGCATTGTATGGCCGTTTTCTCAAAGCCCAGTTCATGCATTACTTTGTTCACCTTTGAATAAACAGCTGTATCAGCTTTTGAGGGGCTGTCCAGTTAGGACTGGATGGGCATGTCTCCGCAGATACTAAGCAGACCCTTTGTCTCATCATCTGTCCAGGCTTAACCACGTCGTAAACGCTTGTTTATCGGAGGCATGTTGTTTCCAGTGTAGAGCTACAGATTAATGACAGGGTGGGTAGTGCATACCAACAACATACATTCCAACAAAATGCATGTCTAGATTTCCTGGAAAACCATTCCATTATAAGCAGGGATGGATGGTTCCACAAATGTACTCCTGTGGCCGTATGCACATGTCGGGCGTAAATTCTAGTCCGGGCGTAAGTCAGATGTGCGCCCGGGCGTAACGTTAAAACGGTATGCATATCTTAGACGTAGCTAAAGTTACGCCAAGCGTAGTGCTCTATATTTACGCCACCTACCCAGCAGGCGTAGCCTTGTAATGGCGGCACTGGATGCCGAGTTTTTTATCATGCGCACATTTTCAAAAGTTTTTAAAAGTGAACGTTGTGCGAGAATTGCGCTCGCGTGGTCCTGGATCTGCGTACGGCTATAAAATTACACAGAAATTTAGAATATTTAATTTCATATCCGTTGGTATAAATATAAGTGCGACTACCTCGGCGGTTTGAGAAATAGACACTGCTAAATGTTGTCTAAAGTTTTGTTACGCGTTAAGAAACTGTCAATTTCTCCGCTTTTTGTTGTGCACCGATAAAAGCACTCTGCTACGATTTTTTTAATTTGGCATCTTTACAGAAAGTGTGAGCGAAGAAAATACAGCCTTATATCTGAACGACATAAGTGTATATGAATTGGGTTTATGTGCTAATGCATAACGTTAGACGCTCAACATTAAAAATGACTCGCAATAAGTGTCAAAAATGGATTTTCTTCTATGACGTCAACTGACGACAGAGAGGTCATACACGTATAAAAGATAAGGGGGCATAACTGAGTTATGCTTAACACTAGGTCAATGTTACTCAGATCACTTGAAGAAAAGTTGTTGTGGATACTTACGCTATATTTTCGTTATGTTGTGTTCTCGGTGAACCAACCTATTCCATTACAAATGTCCCCAATGTGAGCGGATACGTTTTGGTAGTTTCACAATTTATAAGAAAAGATGGCAAGGTACTACTTGAGAAAGCAGAATAGCGATAAGGATGGCCCTATCCGATATGTAAGTTAGTTTTAGATTCCCATATTGACTAATTTTGCATCATTATTACATATCTTCAAATGTACTGAAATTACTGATAATAATACAACACTTTAGTTGACGTCATGGCCTGTTTTATGCATTTTGCGACGTCGGAAAAAGACGACATTGGTTTGCTGATAAGTATATATCTTACCTAAATTCCATTAATTGTATGAAAGGTCTCGGCTTCTATGTCAGAATTTAACACTCTTTAGACCAAACATAAAATGAATAATTTTACCAATTAGATAGTGTCCTGAATATATCAACAATTAGACGGTTTGACTGCGTATCTTATTGTGAGCAACACGCGCACCTGTTTGGCATCAATTTAACGTAAATGAAAAATAATATTTCACAACACCCAAATATTTTGCAGTTATGGCTACGTGTGCCAATTTCTTATGTAAATATTATTCAAACAATCAAAAAACTTTCAAAGAATAAAAAAACGCCTACCCTATATCCAGGTATAATATGGTATTGAACAAGGCTAAATGTATATACTGATAATAGTTTGATGAAAAACATATCTGAACGATACGCAAAGTATACATCATAATACTGAAAGTGTAATCGGAAGGATAGGGCGAATGTGTTTACACTTGTTCAACCGACCTTCACCTCAAAGAAATTGTCTAACATGTACAACAATGTTGACGTATGACATCACTACCGCCGACCGATTTCTTATAAAATGGTGGCCACGCTGACAAGAGTACACAGGATTTCGCGAGGACCCTTC